CTGGCTCACTGCAAGCTCCGCCTCCTGGGTTCACGCCATTCTCCTGCCTCAGCCTCCCGAGTAGCTGGAACTACAGGCGCCCGCCACTGCGCCCGGCTCATTTTTTGTATTTTTAGTAGAGACGGCCTGACCTTGTGATCCGCCTGCCTCGGCCTCCCAAAGTGCTGGGATTACAGGCGAAAAGGAAGATTTTGATAGTCAAAACACAGTGATAATGTTCACTGGTCTTTTCTATTATAATTTAGAAAATGCAAGAAGATGCAAAGCAGTAAATAAGTCATTCCTTATCCCTCCACCCTACGATAACAACTGAACAGTACAATTATTTTCTTTCCATGTTTTAACGGATGTGTATTATTAGATGTGGGGTTTTTTTTTGTTTTTTGTTTTTTTTTATGTTGTGGTTTGTTTGTTTGGAGACAGGGTCTCACTCTGTTGCCCAGGCTGCAGTGCAGCGATGCAATCATGGCTCACTGCAACCTCAACTTCCTGGGCTCAAGCAATCCTCCCACATTAGCCTCCCAAAGAGCTGGGACCACAGACATGCGCCACCACACTCAGCTAATTTTTTAAATTTTTGTAGAGACAGGTTCTGGTCATGTTGCCCAGGCTCGTCTCAACCTCCTGGGGTTAGGTGCGCCTTCCACCTTGGTTTCCTAAAGTGCTGAGATTACAGGCATGAGCCACCATGCCTGGTCTATATGTGTTTTGTTGGTTACTTTTTGAGATAGGGGTGTCACTATGTTGCCTAAGCTGGTCTTGAACTCTTGGACTCAAGTGATCCTCCTGCCTCAGCCTCCCAAATAGCTGGGACTACAGGTGCACACCACAGTGCCTAGCTCTATTAGATTTATTTTTAAACAAGATTAAGATCATGCTGTTTATACAATTCTGTATCCTGCTTTCATATATTGAGTGAACATTTTTTATTTTCTTATTTATTTATTTTGAGACGGAGTCTCACTCTGTCACCCAGGCTGGAGTGCACATGCACGATCTCGGCTCACTGCAACCTCCGCCTCCTGGGTTCAAGCGATTCTCCTGCCACAGCCTCCCGAGTACCTGGGACTACAAGCATGTGACACCATGCCCGGTTAATTTTTGTATTTTTTAGTAGAGACAGGTTTCACCATGTTGGCCTGGCTGGTCTCGAACTCCTGACCTCGTGATCTGTCCGCCTTGGCCTTCCAAAGTGCTGGGATTACAGGTGTGAGCCACCGCGCCCGGCCCATTTTTTATTTTCAACTGAGAATACAAACTATGAGTAAAATTATGCAGTAAAAGTAAAATGCTAAAGCAAAAAGTATCTTGCTTGGATTAAAGATTGCGTAAGAACATGTGATCCCAGGATATTATGGTGTTGAGTCCTTACCAATTTCAGACATAGAAGGAGTCTAAAAATGTATACTGAAACTACACTGTCATCTAATTAAAATATTTCTCTGATAGATGTTGGGGTAACCTGAAAGCACAGAGATTAAGAGCATAAACTGTAGAGTCTGACCAACCTAGTTTAAGCTGTGAAGCTGAACCAGGCTGGTCAGACTCTAAAAGCTGTGGCTTTGCCACTTACTAACTTTAAGAGAACCTTAATGTTCTCATTTGTAAAATGAGGCTAATAATACCTACCTCTCAGGCAATAATAAGAATTTAATAAATGTAAACTGCTTAGTATAGTGCCTAGAATATAACAGGCTATTTTGATGATGTTGTCCTAGTTTTTATTGTGCCAAAGACCATTCTTTATACAATAAAACACATTAGACAACCAGGCCAGGTGTGGTGGCTCACACCTGTAATCCCAATGCTTTGGGAGGTGGAGGCAGGAGGACAGCTTGAGGCCAGGAGTTTGAGACCAGCCTGGGCAACACAGCAAAATCTCATCTCTACAGAAAGTAAGAATTAGCTGGGCGTAGTGGTGTGTGCTTGTAATCCTAGCTACTCAGGAGGGGGACTGCTTGAGCCCAGGAGTTTGAGGTTACAGTGAGCTATGATCATGCCACTGCAATTCAACTTGGATAACTTGGATGACAGGGTAAGGCCCTGTCTCTAAAACAAAAACAAAAACAAAAAAGCGTATTAGACAACTGATCATCTTTCTTTCTTTTTTTTTTTTTTTTTTCGTGACAGGGTCTCACTCTGTCGCCCAGGTTCTGGAGTACAGTGGCATGATCTCGGTTCATAGCAGCCTCGACCTCCTGGGCTCCAGCGGATCCTCCCACCTCAGCCTCCTGAGCAGCTGGGACTCAAGCCACCATGCCTGGCCAATTTTCTGTAGTTTCTGTAGAGATGGGGTTTCACCATGTTGCCCAGGCTGGTCTAGAACTCCTGGGCTCAAGCCATTTGCCCACCTTGGCCTCCCAAAGTGCTAGGATTACAGGCGTGAACCAGCATGTCCCACTTGATCACCCTTGAGGAGCTAATAGCAACTCAGACAAAGACCAGATCCAGAGTATTTCATTTGGCCATTAACTCACATCTGGGTAGGTAACCGGTAACTGGTATTCAATTCCAATGAATGAATTTGGTACTTCCACGTAGATGAATTAAAAAACCAAGAACATATTGAGTGACAGCCTACTGAGTATTTCGGGCCTCACCCTCAGTCCTAAGTGGTGTCTTCAAAGTTCCTATAGACAGAATACTTACCCATGCTGAGGGACTCTTTCTGAAATTCCTTGGTTAGGTGGGAACGGTTGGTTATGCAGTACACATAGCGCTCCAACACATACCAACACATCTCATAGTAGAATGGATAGCGAAACTTATTTGGAACCTACAGAGGAATATAATAGAGAAAAGATGACCATTTTCAAGGAAAGAGAGTACAACAAACGGAATCACTGCAATCATTAACCCAGGAAATACTCTCACCAGTCAACCTGCAAACCCAGCTTGGCATCTGAAGCAAAAACTTAAGTAAAACCATCAACTTAGAAAATGTTGGTCTTGAGAAATAATCACTAAAGATAAAGGGTACTTAGGAGGCCCAGATGGGTGGATCACTTGAGGTCAGGAGTTCATGACCAGCCTGACCAACATGGTGAAACCCTGCCTCTACTAAAAATACAAAAATCAGCCAGGTGTTGTGGTACACACCTTGTAATCCCAGCTACTCAGAAGGCTGAGGAATGAGAATCACTTGAACCTGGGAGGCGGAGGTTGCAGTGAGCTGAGATCATGCCTCTGCACTCCAGTCTAGGCTACAGAGTGAGACTCTGTCTTCAAAAAAACCAAAACAAAAAAAAACACCCCAAAAAACGGTACTTGAGGAAGACCATTTAGAACCACCAAGAAACTGTCTTGGTTAAGTGGAAAGGCATCAAAATGAAAGTTTGGGTTTTGGGACAGAGTAAAATGAAAGAGTAAGACACAAAATACTTGAGAAAAAGGTATGCAAAGTACTCTTGCTTTACTATGTTTGCCCCTGAATCAGAAGGCCATGGAACAAAGAATCTCATGGAAAAACAGGACATGAGATGAAGTGACATGTTAATATTATGTAATTACATACACTAAAGTTTGACGAGAGACTCACTCTCAGACCGTGTCTAGTCTAGGGCACCAAGTTGGGTATTTTCCCCACTACTGATGCTCAGTTTGCCTGCCTCAAACTTTGTAGTCTGCCAAAATGGTATGTCCACAAACCAGATTAACGTTCCATACGACCTAATCAATCACTATCTTAATTTTCTTTCCATTCTCCCCAAAAGAGCATTTTCATTATTATTTCAGCTGGATACTAATTTTAAAAAGTACTCTTCAGATATATCACAGTCCAGGAAAGGACAAATCAGCACAGATTAATCAGTGAGGAAGACCAATGATGGGGACTATCCTAAATATATTTTGTTGCCTTTTTAAAAAACCATTTTTTAAACTTTTATTTTTAGAGGCAAGGTCTTGCTCTTTCATCACCCAGGCTATCATCTCCCTACCAAAGCCTCCCCAGTAGCTGAGATTACAGGTGTGTGCCACCACACCTGGCTAATTTATTAACCCATTTCCCTTTTAGAAAATAAAAGAGCAGCTCGCGGCCAGCGCTCATGTAATTTTACATAAACATGCTTTTTGATGCTGAAGGAAATCTGATTTTCAAGGTGAGAATAAAATATAAAAACTGTCCTTGGAGTTATTTCTAAACAAAACAGCAGGATAGTCTGAATCGTCAGGATTGTCTATTTCAGAAAAATCGGATCCATCAAATGAATCTTTGGCCAAAAACTGTTCATGAATGATATATTATTATTATTTGGGTTCAAGCGATTCTCCTGCCTCAGACTCCTGAATAGCTGGGATTAAAGGCGTGTGCCCCTACACCCGGCTAATTGTTATTTTAAATTAATTAATTATTTTTACTATTTTCTGACATGGAGTTTTGCTCTTGTTGCCCAGGCTGGACTGCAATGGTGCAATCTCGGCTCACTGCAACCTCCACCTCCTGGGTTCAAGCGATTCTCCTGCCTCAGCCTCCCAAGTAGCTGGGATTACTGGTGTGCACCAACACGCCCAGCTAATTTTTGTATTTTTAGTAGAGACGTGGTTTCACCATCTTGGCCAGGCTGGTCTCGAACTCCTGACCTCAGGTGATCTACCCACCTCGGCCTCCCAAAGTGCTGGGATTACAGGCATGAGCCACTGCACCCAGCTATATTTATTTAGAGTTTGGCTCTTGTTGCCCAGGTTGTAGTCCAATGGCGTGATCTTGGCTCACCGCAACCTGCACCTCTGAGTTCAAGAGATTTTCCTGCCTCAGCCTCCCAAGTAGTTGGGATTACAGGCATGCGCCACCACGCGGGACTAATTTTGTATTTTTAGTAGAGACACGCTTTCTCCATGTTGGTCAGACTGGTTTTGAACTCCAGACGTCAGGTGATCCACCCGCCTTGGCCTCCCAAAGTGCTGGGATTACAGGTGTGAGCCAGCGCGCCTGGCCAATTGTATTTTTAGTAGAGATGGGGTTTCACCATGTTGGCCAGGCTGGTCTTGAACTCCTGACCTCCAGTGATTTGCCTGCCTCAGCTTCCCAAAGTGCTGGGATTACAGGCGTAAGCCACCATGCCCGGACAAGAATGATGTTAACATCATGCACAGGAATGCTACGTTTTCTAGGATCTGACATTTTCAGCAATCAAGAATAACTATATTTTGTAAGCGGAAATAGCACTACTAAAAACAGAATGCTATAAATAGATTGATATCTTGTTTTTTCAAAGTCAGTATACTGGAGTGATGCGAAAATAATAGTGAGACAGTTCATGACAAAGTTATCCTGGGGTAAATGCTGTAGCCGCTGGGCATGGTGGCTCACACCTATAATCACAGCACTTTGGGAGGCTGAGGTGGGCAGATCACGAGGTCAGGAGATAGAGACCATCCTGGCTAACACAGTGAAATCTCGTCTCTATTAAACACACAAGAAAATTAGCTGTGCCTGGTGGCGGGCGCCTATAGTGCCTGCTACTCGGGAGGCTGAGGCAGGAAAATGGCATGAACCCGGGAGGCGGAGCTTGCAGCGAGCAGAGATCACGCCACTGCACTCCAGCCTGGGCGACAGAGCAAGACTCTGTCTCAAAAACAAACAAACAAACAAACAAAAAAGAAACGAATTTGAGACCAGCCTGGTGAAACCCCATCTCTACTAGAAATACAAAAATTAGCGTGGTGGCACATGCCTGTAATCTCAGCTACTCGGAACGCTGGGGCAGGAGAATCGCTTGAACCTGGGAGGTGGAGGTTGCAGTGAGCTGAGATCATGCCATTGCACGCCAGTTTGGACAACAACAGCGAAACCGTGTCTCAAAGAAAAAAAATAAAAAATAAAAATTGCAGCTGCCAAGTGCCACTGGTATTATTGGGGAAAATTGGAAAGGGGTTAATTTTTGGTAGGGATAGGGTCTCACTATGTTGTCCAGGCTGGTCTCAAACTCCTGGGATTAAGTGATCCTTCACTTCAAACTCCCAAAAAGTACTTGGGATTACAGGCATGAACCACCGTGCCTGGACATACAGCTTTCTTTTAGAGAGGTCATATTTCAAAAGGATAAGCCAAATGATACTTTTAAGATTGTTTTGAATATGCAGCTCCTGAGAATGTTCCCATCTCCTCCCATATTGTAGGAATGACTTCACCTACCCCTTGTCAAACTCTATATCAAGTAGTCTTCCTGAATCATGGAGAAATAGATAGGAGTCCCTTTTCAAAAACTGTCACCAGGCCACAGGGCATCAGTGGGGACTAAGGAGATCACTCTCCCCATGGCAAGGCAGGAGAGATGTACTTTTCATGTCAGACCTAATCAGTTTTCTAATGCATAGTAGCCAGACCCTGATTCTGGGTTCTTATGTGGCTAAAACTTCAACAACTAAAAGAATGACTCTCTTACACAAAAGTAAAATTAATTTATTTCTGACTAAGGGAGACAGAGGAGAGAGACAACCAATAGGTACTTGGTCCCTCAAAATTAAATATAATACACTATGCCTCTCCATTAGCCTTTTAAGTGTAGCAACATTTTCTGGAAGGGTTTTTATTAGGAGTTCAGGACAACTCCAAATTCTGAAGCCCTCTGGAAATCAGCTGAAAGCTGAGTAATAATGACAGTTTTAAAAAAAGAAGAGTCTGGGCACAGTGGCTCACGCCCATGGTCCCAAGACTTTGGGGGCCTGAGGCTGGAGGATTGCTTGAACCCAGGAGTTCGAGACCAGCCTGGGCAGCTTAGTAAAACCTCATCTCCACAAAAAAATAAAAATAAAAAAATTAGCCAGGTGTGGTGGTGTGTGTCTGTGGTCCCAGCTACTTAGGAGGCTGAGGCAGGAGGATCACTTGAGCCTAGGAGGTTGAGGCTGCAATGAGCTGAGATCATGCCACTGCACTCTAGCCTGGGCGACAGAGTGAGACCCTGTGTCAAAAATTAATAAATAAATAAATAAAAAAGAAAGAAAAAAGGAAGAAAATATGAAATACAGGCATTAAAATTTTGAGTTTTTGCTTGTAACTTTATAAGACTGTATTAATTAAAGCCAAGAGATACCACATACCCAACCTGACCCCATTACATTTTACTTATGCTGCATATCAATTTCTAAGACTCGGTTAGCATTTTTTGGAAAGAATTTTTAAAACTCCCCATTATAAAATTATTGAGCCTTTAAGCACTATTAGAATAATTACCAACACTTAAGTAATAGTAAATTTCTACATTGGTATGGCAAAAGTGACCAGAACATTGTCTTGTTTGCAACATGCTTTGTATTTCTTTGGTAAAGCATTCCCTATACATTCTCTTAACTTTATAGAGATTTTTATAACTTTATAGAGATTAGTAACATATCAAATGAATGCCAGGTTGACATTTTCACATAAAAAGTTGGTATGGAAAGCAATAAAAAATTGCTGTGTGTACAAGTATACGAAACACAATGAAATTTTATGGGACTACAGAAAGATTTTATTTGAAATTAAATAAGCCATTCTTAGAAAAAATAGAAAAACAATTGATTAGACACTGAAATTTTTGATAAAGTTTAGGAATCAGATAAATCAAGATGAGTTTTTCCCAGTTAAGAGTTTGTAGGACTCTTTTTTCCATTTATTTGTTTGTTTATTTTTTGAGACAGAGTTTCGCTCTTATTGCCCAGGCTGGAGTGCAATGGTGCAATCTTGGCTCACTGCAACCTCCGCCTCCTGGGTTCAAACAATTCTCCTGCCTCAGCCTCCCAAGTAGTTGGGATTACAGGCATGTGCCACCATTCCTGGCTAATTTTGTATTTTCAGTAGAGACAGGGTTTCTTCATGTTGGTCAGGCTGGTCTCAACTTTCCCACCTCAGGTGATCCGCCCGCCTCGGCCTCCCAAAGTGCCTGGATTACAGGTGTGAGCTACTGTGCCCGGCCTTTTTAAAAATTTTTTCTCTTATTTTTCTTCTCTTTATGCAGAAAACTCTTCATGCAGGGATAAGGTGCTCACTTTATGTTACTGAATATATATTTTCCTTTTCTTCCCTGAAACTGAACCAGTTAAGCCCCAGATATAAGAGTCATCTTTGGCCACAAAAAGTGAACGCACTCTAAAAACTAATTTTCAGACTGAATCTTAAAATGGGTACATAATTACCTCTAAGAATGACAGAGAGTTTAATGGGAGTATTTTACTATGGAATTATACATTTTTTCTTTTTTGAAACATTTTCCCTATTTTAGAATACTTATCTGCTTTAGAATAGACTTTTTTTTTTTTTTAATTAACAGACTGTGTCTCACTCTTCCACCCAGGCTGGAGTACAGTGGCACCATCATAGCTCGCTGCAACCTGGAACTCCTAGGTTCAAGCAATCCTCTCACCTCAGCCTCTCCAGTAGCTAGGATTACAGGCATGTGCCACCACACCCAGCTTTGTTGCCCAGGATAGTCTCAAACTCCTTGCTTCACGTACTCCTCCCACTTTGGGCTTCCAAAGGGTTGGGATTACAGGCATGAGCCCCTGTGCCTGACCTGTACTTTTGTTACTCTTAACAAATAAACAGAAATGTACTTTTATAAAATGTCTTGAAGAAGCACTGGCTTCCTATCTTAATTCTACTAGTAGGGCAATTCCTGTAACTCCAACAATAATACCAATGGTGTATATAGTGATAAGTAGCTCCTACACCAAAATAAATTTTGCAAAATAGGCACTATAATGGTTTACTATTATTGCAGTACATGGGTCAGTAACCATTCCTCATAAGAGTTGTGAATTCTTCATTAATTACTATTTTTAAATTTGTAATACTTTTAATTCTACCAAAAGGTTCCAAGAGCAGTACCATAATACTTCTACGCTCTTCTCTACAATTCTCCAACTGTTAACATTTCCCCACGTTTGCTGATCTTCATACTAGCTTAGTATTCTGCTAAGCTACTTGGGAGTAACTTAATAAACATCGCAACCCCCAAATATTCTAATTGCTGTTTAATCCCAGTATCATCTATACTTTCATATATGATTTAGCCCTTACCAATTAGAATTCTGCTAAACAATAAGCCCTCATTCTCTACGATGGAGGCTAGCCAGCAAACAACACTTAGTGGATTTGGCCTGCTGCCTCTTTTTATGATTCCTGTGAACTAAGAGTGTTTTTTACCTTTTTTTTTTCTCCGGGTCAGACAGGTAATGTGCTGACGTGTTAATAGTAACAAGGTTCAAGGGTGGCACCTTTCACGTACGTGCACGAACACCTAATCATCATGATCATGAACTATAAAAGGATCGCTTTTTACATTTTTTAATGGTTGAAAAAAAACTTGAGTATTCTGTGACATGTTAAAGTTATGTGAAATTCAACTTTCAGTGTCTATGAATAAAATGTTGTGTTATTTGAGCCATACTCATTTGTTTAAGTATTTCATGCTACAAGGTAGGGTTAAACAGTCACAACAGATACTTTATGACCTATGAAGCCTAAAATATTTACTATCTGGTCCTTTGCAGAAAAAGTTTGTCAACTCTTGCCTTGAGGTATCCATTGTATATAATAAATTAACTTTTTTCTATGCCTCTAGAATGGTATCAGCTGTGTATCATCCTAGGGAAAAACTGAGAAAATAAGATATACAAATTATTTTATTTTGGGCTTAATTCTCTCTTAAAACCCCAGTTGAGAAAAATAGTATATACATTTATATATTAAAGTAAGATGCATAGTCATCAGTGTAGAAAAAGATACATGAATTTAAAGTTCTAAAACTTGAGTTAAGCCCCATTACACCAAATTATTCTGTGAGCATAAAAATGAAACACATGGCTCAAGAGATTACCAGAGGTCCATGTCTGGCCTTATAAAAATCCAAGATACTGCTGGATGCAGTAGCTCACACCTGTAATCCCAGCACTTTAGGAGGCCAAAGCGGGCAGATCACTTGAGCTCAAGAGTTCCAGACCAGCCTGGGCAACATAGCCAAAAACCCATCTCCAAAAAATACAAAAAAAATTAGTTGGGTGTGGTGGCGTGTGCCTGTAGTCCCAGCTACCTGGGAGGCTGAGGTGGGAGGATCAATTGAGCCCGGGGAGGTTGAGGCTGCAGTGAGCCATGACTGTGCCATTGCACACCAGCATGGGCAACAGAGTGAGACTCTGTCCCAAAAATTAAAAGAAAAAAATGTTACTTTTCTCCCATTCACAATGGTGTTGGAAAAAAAAAAAAAAAGGAAAGAAAAATCCAAGATACCAAAAACCTCACAGAATTGGAGTCCCCAAAATTGAGTATGTAAATTGTGTTAAAATTTTTATTTGGCCAGTCGCAGTGGCTCACACCTGTAATCCCAGCACTTTGGGAGGTTGAGGCTGGAGGACTGCTTGAACCAGGAGTTCTAGACTAGCCTGGGAAACGCAGCAAGACCAAGTCTCTATGAAAAAAATAAAAAATTAGTCAGCTGTGGTGTGCGCCCGTAGTCCCAGCTACTTGGGAGGCTGAGGCAGAAGGATGCTTGAGCCTGGGAGGTTGAGGCTGCAGTCATCCGTGATCACGCCACTGCACTCTAGCCTGGAAAACAGAACAAGATTCTGCCTTTAAAAAAAAATACATTAAATTTAAAATTTTGTGTGTTCCTAAAATGTCAACATTGCATTTTAACTGAAAGAAAAATGGAAGTTTTGACAAACCATGAATGAATCTCTTGTAACATCTATCTTAACTGGAGTAAACCTCTTCACATCCAACTGTTATGTAAGATTACTTACCCGTGTCCGATCTTCAATGTTGTATATTTTTAACTGCATAGGGATGTTGAAGCTATGCAAAAAATTGCCCCCAAACACTAACGTATCTGTAGGAGTATACACAGCATGAATCCAGCCTAGAAGAAAGGGAACAGAGGGCAGTGGCTGAAAATACACATTACAGTAAGTCTCTCTCAGAGAACTAGTATAAGACCCCTAGATCACACTCTTCACTCTGATTCTGCTTCTCAGTGGTTTGTCAAGTTAATCTCTCAAAGCCTCAATTTCCTGTATAAAACCAGGATAAATAATACTTCTTATGGTTGCTCATGAGCATTAAATGAGAAAATGCACATCAAATGCTTAGCACACAATAAACATTTACTGGAGCACCAACTATAAACCAGGCTCTGTACAAGACAGTTTACAATTCAGGGCTGTCCAATCTGTTGGCTTCCCTGGGCCACACTGGAAGAAGAATTGCTTGGGCAACACATAAAATATGCTAACATGGCCAGACGTGGTGGCTCACGCTTATAATCCCAGCAATCTGGGAGGCCGAGGTGGGTGGATCATGAGGTGAGGAGTTCAAGACCAGCCTGGCCAACATGGTGAAACCCCATCTCTAGTAAAAACTCAAAAATTAGCTGGGCATGGTGGGGCGCTCCTGTAATCCCAGCTACTTGGGAGGCTGAGGCAGAAGAATTGCTTGAACTGGGACCTGGGAGGCAGAGGTTGCAGTGAGCTGAGACTGCGCTATTGTACTCCAGCCTGGGCCTACAGAGCAAGACTCCATCTCAAAATAAGTAAATAAATAAAATAAAATATACTAATACTAATGACAGCTGACGACCTTGAAAAAAATTGCAAAAAAAAAAAACTCATGTTTTAAGAAAGTTTATGAATTTGCCTTAGACCACAGTCAAAGCCATCCTGGGCTGCATGAGGCCTGTGGCCTGTAGGCTGGATAAACTTGGTTTACATGTGTTCTCATTTATATTCCTTATAACAAAATGAGACACAGATTTAATTATTTGCTCTAAGCGTAGTATCTAGCAGGTAAATGCATAGTCAGAATCCTAATAGAGGTCTGTGACTCCAAAATCTGTGATCTTTATAAGCACTTACTTTGATTTAATGACTTGATCAAAAACATCCCTGACTTGAGCACTCTAGCCTTCACAGTCATTCCCTAGAATATTAGGCAGCTCTTCAACATAGATTGTGTATCACCTGCAGAACAGGTCCTATCTATAGAGATTCTAAATTACTAGGGCTAATGCAGAGCCCAAACGTGTATATCTGAAAAGCCTCTGCTGGCAATTCTTAACATACTTTATCGGAAAGCCACTGCCTTTTCAAACTGAAAAGAGAACAAACAAAACCTCAGCATCTACTCCATCATGACAGGAAGAAACACTGTTGTTTTCTGCAGACCCCAGCATCGTAACTATCCTTGGTAGTTATCCATCAATTTCTTTTTCATTAAGAAAAAAAGTGGCTAAATAACCCACTGTTCCCATTTTGCTTACCTGAGGGAATGACGAAGGTATAGCCCTGCTTGAGCTCAATGCGCTGACAATCTGATACCCGGTCACCCAGAAAGATGTCTCCCTGTTTCCCTGACAGCAGCCAATTCTCGTACAGCTCCAGGTTGTGGGCTGTAGGGGGGATGAGCCAGAAGACCTGTGAGTTAAAAAACTTTAGTCTGTTAACAGCCATTGACATGACCCAGTCGTCTCCCTCAACTGATAAACAGGTACAAAATTAAGACCACCAGGTAGAAGAAAGGCAAGCAATTTTCCCAGCCTATAGAACTTGACTATTTGGTAAACCTTAGAAGGTCCAAAGCAGTAGATCTTTCTTATCCTCCACTTGATCCAACAGCATTAAGGCTTCCCTGGGGGTTGACTAGGGAACCCATCCAGGACTCAGAGAGAAGAGGGACATTCATCTCATTACCTAGACAGTCCCTTAAACACCTCTGACTGTCTGGCCTCCAGAGTCCTAAGTAGCACAGTTAATTAGGCACAGTATCTTCAAGAGACTGGCTCAGGTTGTTTTGTCCAAGATAGTAACTAAGATCAACAGGGCTTAAAGGGATCTGAAGTAAACAAAATGACTTTTGGATTTGGAGACAGTTGTTCTGCTTAAGACTTTTTTTTTTAGATGGAGCTTCACTCTTGTAGTCCACGCTAGAGTGCAGTGGCATGATCTTGGCTCACTGCAACCTCTGCCTTCTGGGTTCAAAGGATTCTCCTGCCTCAGCCTCCAGAGTTGCTGGGACTACAGGCATGCACCACAACGTCCAGCTAACTTTTGTATTTTTAGTAGAGATGGGGTTTCACCATGTTGGCCAAGATGTTTTCAATCTCCTGACCTTATGATCCGCCCACCTTGGCCTCCCAAAGTGCTAGATTACAGGTGTGAGCCACTGTGCCCGGAAAAGACCTCATGTTTTTGTTGTTGTTTGTTTCTTTTTTTTTTTTTTGAGACAGAGTTTCTCTCTTGTTGCCCAGGCTAGAGTGCAATGGCACGATCTCAGCTCACCACAACCTCCACCTCCTGGATTCAAGTGATTCTCCTGCCTCAGCCTCCCAAGTAGCTGGGATTACAGGCATGCACCACCATGCCTGGCTCATTTTGTATTTTTAGTAGAGACGCGCTTTCTCCATGTTGGTCAGGCTGGTCTCGAGCTCCTGACCTCAGTTGATCCGCCCGCCTCAGCCTCCCAAAGTGCTGGAATTACAGGCGTGAGCCACCGTGCCCAGCCAAGACCTCATGTTTTAAATAAGGGATTATCTGTTCTCATTCTAGTTCTACTTTTCTCTTACAAATGCATTCACTGCAAGTAAGAGAAAAAAGAGTAACAACAGTGTAATACTATAAACCTCGGGTATTAATTCTAGATTTCCATTCTCATATAGCATTCAGAAGCATTTTCACAAACTGGAATATAACTGAATGAATAAAGATAATCCTTCATAACCTATTTACATCCTCAAAAAGAACTTAAAGGCTTCCTTTGGCCACATTTCAGACCAACGGCTACACAGAGGGAAAGTTCGTTTAGATCTTAATTTGCTGACTTCACAGTGAATCTATCCAAAATTTGTGTTCCCTTCCACTATTTATTTGGAGAACTCTGATTCAGGAATCTAGAAACAGGACTCTTGAGATTTACTAAGTGCTGTGCCAATGGTATAATGATAGTGAACTAGATGAATACTAATTTCTACCGAACACTAGATCTATAATTCTTTCCAGATATGAATGGGGACAATTCCCTAACAGATTCATTTCCAGGGTATATTAAGCATACATGAACTGAAGCAAAGTCATAACCAACTTCAGATTCCAACCCCTATCACAACTATGACCATACCTTTCCCCCTTGATGGATGTGATACCAAACAGAGGTACCACCAAAGTCCACATGGAAGTCAGTATAGCAGCCTCGAACACTCATTAGACAGTACCTGACCCAAAAAAAGCAGCAGTATTAGTGTACCGATGGAAGAAAGTACATCTGCCCCACCAAAATGCCATACTCTCCTCTTGTATACTCCCTTTATGTTCCACCTAATCAAGTTCCAGAAGGAGAAAAAGCAATGCATTTTCAAGTCATCACATTATCAGAAAAAGGTGGGTTTTTTTCTACCCTATTGACTAAAATGTTAAGGTTTTTTTTTCCTTTAACCATGTGGTTGTGTGCTATGGTATGCTCATATACACTCTTCCTTGTGGAACTGTGAAGTCTAATCTTTAAATAATTCATCTTTTTAATCATTTAGGACACAGAGCAAAGCTTTTAAGGGAGAAGCAAATCCTTGCTATTACTTTGGTCTCCCACAGCATGTGGAGGAAGATGCAGGGCGCTTCACTTACTTCTGCACTTTAGGGTACTGCATCTCCAAGATGGCATTTGTTGATTCAGTCTGGCTTTCCTTCAAGTGCCTTGGCCACATGTTGTCTACCCAGTCAATGAAATCCACCTTTAAATAGAAGGAGGAAACACTTGGGCTCCAAGGGAAAGGTTGGGGTCAAAGATAATTTTAAAGTCAAGAAAAGCAGAATTTCTTAAAATACACAACAAAAAACTATAATTTAATTGTAAGTAAATTAAAACAATCTGTTGGCGAATCTTAGGATTACTAGGCAACCATCCTAGAAATAATTGTTATATGAGAATAAAGATCATAATTCCATCAAATGATAATAGTAAAGACAGAACTAGTCAAAATAGAATCATTATTGATGCAATAGTGTATAACTATGAACTCTCTTCTATGTCAATACTCATATAATTTGTTTTATTTTTAATCCAATAAAAGGTATTGTCTGGAAGGTATCTATAAACTCAGCAAAACATATACCATTGTTAGAACAATTAAGATGCCAAAAGTTAGGCTTAAAAAAAAAATCCAGTATGGATTTGTAGCCTTGTATTGACAATGTGCTACAGAAACTACCAGCTTAGGAATAAGAAGCTCCAGGTCTGTCATGTCTTTTCAAGACCATATAAGGCCCTGGAACTCATCTATAAAACTAAGACAGACCAGGCACAATGGCTCACGCTTGAAATCCCAGAGCTTTGGAAGGCCAAGGTGGGAAGATCACTTAAACCCAGGAGTTCAAGACCAACCTGGGCAACACAGTGAGAACCCAGCTCTTGACAATAAAACACAAGTCAGTTACAGTGGTTCACGCCTGTAATCCCCAACACTTTGGGAGGCCGAGGCAGGCGGATCACCCAAGGTTGGGAGTTCAAGACCAGCCTGACCAACACGGAGAAACCCTGTCTCTACTAAAAATACAAAATTAGGCTGGGCGCGGTGGCTCAAGCCTGTAATCCCAGCACTTTGGGAGGCCAAGGCGGTGGATCACGAGGTCAGGAGATCGAGACCATCTGGCTAACATGGTGAAATGCTGTCTCTACTGAAAATACAAAAAATTAGCCAGGCATGGTGGCAAGAGCCTGTAGTCCCAGCTACTCGGGAGGCTGCGGCAGGAGAATGGCGTCTACCCAGGAGGCGGAGCTTGCAGTGAGCAGAGATTGCGCCACTGCACTCCAGCTTGGGCAACAGAGCGAGACTCCGTCTAAAAAAAAAAAAAAAAAAAACTTAGCTGGGCATGGTGGCGCGTGCCTATAATCCCAGCTACTCGGGAGGCTGAGGCAGGAGAATCGCTTGAACCTGGGAGGCTGAGGTTCTGGTGAGCCGAGATCGTGCCACTGCACTCCAGCCTGGGCAACAAGAGCGAAACTCCGTCTCAAAAAAATAAATTAAATAAATAAAATTTAAAAATAGCCAGGTATGGTGGCATGTACCTATAGTCCTAGCTACTTGTGAGGCTAAGATGGGAGGTTTGCTTAAACCCAGGAATTTGAGGCTGCAGTAAGCTACAATCACCACTGTACTCCAGCTTGGGCAACCAGAGCAAGACTGTCTCAATAAAAAACCCAAAACCATACACACACAAAACTAAGATAATTACTTCAAAGATATGTTGTAAGGATTAAATGTAAACACTTCTACCATTTTGAAATAATGTGAGAGTACAGAAATCTTTTTTTTTTTTTGAGACAAAGTCTTGCTCTGTCACCCAGGCTGGAGTACTGTGGTGCGATCTCAGCTCACTGCAACCTCCGCCTCCCAGGTTCAAGCAATTCTGCTGCCTCAGCCTCCCGAGTAGCTGGGATTACAGATGCCTGCCACTGCACCTAACTAATTTTTGTATTTTTTGGTAGAGACGGGGTTCCACCTTCTTGGCCAGGCTGGTCTCGAACTTCTGACCTCAGGTGATTCACCAGCCATGGCCCCCCAAAGTGCTGGGATTACAGGCATGAGCCACCAGGCCCAGTCAGGAATCTTTTAAATAATATTGGCTGAAAAAAAAAAAAGAGAAGTGAAAGCAATACGAATTGCAATATTTTACACTAATATGGTTACAAAAAACATGTATCTGGTAAGCTTTGTAACAACATCTATGTATCTGGTCACTTACTTCCCTTATAATGCAAATCGAGACAAATGCATACAGTTGTGCATGATATGAAGCAGTTGTCTAGAGGATACCCAGATGTTAATTGTGGGAGAGTATTTAGAAAGCATCACCACTGACATGGAAGAAACAAGACGAGGTGCAACTGTTAAGGTTAACCTGCTGCTCCATGCTCACAGAGCCAACAATTTTAACCAAGCATCCACTGGTCCCAGAACATTGAATAAGCCCTGGATGCTTTTTTTTTTTTATCGTGGGTCATTAGTTACTTAATGTAGTAGCCACCATCTCCCATCTCTGTGTGTTGTCTGTGGGAATGCCTTTAACAGAATAATGAATAAAGTACTTGCTTAATACACTGTAAGCTCCCATGTCTAAATGGGGAGAGGAAGGGTTCAGCATGTAAGAGTATTTTTTTTTTTAACCATGCATTCATTCACAGAAAGAAGAATTTCTTTTTTTTTTTGAGGCGGAGTCTCGCTCTGTCGCCCGGGCTGGAGTGCAGTGGCGCGACCTCAGCTCACTGCAAGCTCCGCCTCCCGGGTTCACGCCATTCTCCTGCCTCAGCCTCCCGAGTAGCTGGGACTACAGGCGCCCACCACCTTGCCCGGCTAGTTTTTTGTATTTTTTAGTAGAGACGAGGTTTCACCATGTTAGCCAGGATGGTCTCGATCTCCTGACCTCGTGATCCGCCCGTCTCGGCCTCCCAAAGTGCTGGGATTACAGGCTTGAGCCACCGCGCCCGGCCCAGTTTCTGTATTTTTAGTAGAGGCAGGGTTTCACCATGTTGGCCAGGCTGGTCTTGAACTCTTGACTTCAAGTGATCTGCCCAACCAGAGTGCTGGGATTATAGGTGTAAGCTACTGCACCTGGCTTATTTTCTGTATTTTGATTGTGGTGGTTACTCACATCAATAAATATGTCTGTCAAAACTCATTGAAATGCACACTTAAAATGGGGGTCCAGCCGGGCGCGGTGGCTCACGCCTGTAATCCCAGCACTTTGGGAGGCCGAGGCGGGTGGATCAC